ATGATCAAGGAAAAACGACAGCTGGTGACATAAACATCTGCGGTTCTGCTAAGTCTACCGTTCGCCTTGCTCTGCAATGACTATATGGTCTCTATACGTGTATGTGTCTGAATGTAGAAGTACATCTGGTACTTGGGTAGGTGCTAAGCAAATGAGTTGACTGGCGTCGAGTGTTGCATTCAAGTGACTACTAGTATGAAAAATATAGTATATGATTCATAGTAGCATTAAAGATTTATTGAATTACGGAATGTTCGTTTAGGGGGGCGCGCGCGCGCGCTTCACTATGACTGTTGTTACTTTAGACACTTTACAGCAGCGTATTATAGAGTTCTGATACTTTTGTGTTTAGAGAAGCAAACACTCAAATGTAGCAATAATCGTGTAAGCCGACACTAGACAACTGAAGAACTGATGACGTCTTACTTGAAAATCGTTATGAGGATTTGCGTAGGTTGTCGAAGTCTTAGCGTCCTCAGATAGGCTAACTTCAATCCATAACTAGGTCAAGCTTAATGTTGGACTATCACAGAGTAAATCCACTTTCAGAGACGTCATTATTCCCACAGTCAATTGTACAGAGTTAGTAACTTTGTTCGGTGAGCATCTCGAACGTTCATGGGTCTCGCGTGATGAGCAAAACATAGACACTTTTGTTACGAAAAAAGAAACAAAGTATGCTTTTGAAGACAAAGGTATGCGCTAAACAGCCGATGATAACTTCGTCGCCCCGAGATCATTAGCTATCGATCGTTTAAAGAGCTGCTTCATCGGATACTCACGCGACACTTTCGGAGGCAACTCGAAGCAAGATATTTAATTGGTTCCTTTGCGGTGCCGAGGCGCTGACAATGAAGAGACCATGGCTAAGGAAAAGAGGACGAAGGCTTGTGCCAATGAACACAAGTCGCCAGAATGGCGATAGTAAGGCTTTCTGCAATTGGGAGTCTAAAGTCGAGACGCATGTTTTTGGTGCGATGAATATTTTTGGTTAGTACCTTCGAACAAGAACGGTTGGGATATTGGAATAGAAATTTCCGTTTACAAGTTTATTCTACGCTACATATTTATTCTAATGTCCGCGCGGCAGCGGGTGAATGTCGTGAAATGCATGAATCCTGTTGAAGGCAAATGGCGATAAGGACTGCAGAAGCTGTCCGATCGACGTTAAATACATGCCTCTCGTGATGCACACCTACCTCTATGAACCCATGTTACCTCTAAGCACGTAAACAACGATGTACAATTTCGTTCAATTGCTAAAATTCTCAAGTTTAAAAGCTGTTCTGAAAGCCTTTTATATAGCCTAACTTGATTTTCGGACATGCGTAGAAATTGTAGCAGATTTACCACCGGATATTGCGTTGATAGAAACCGCTAAACGATCGAATTGGACTACCGAAGATGCCAATACTATCCGTATACCGAACTGTATTTCACACCTGAATCCGGTTCTGAGTAGTCTTTATTACAACGGTCATTCTGACTGTTATTTTATGATTATCGAGAAGAAGCAGATATATTACCCACAATAATTTTCCTCTATACGTAAACAACAGTAGTGAGCTTCGTTGTCGTTGTTATTTGTGCCTCGGCCATCGTTACTGCGAGTTGACCGTACTTTCCTTCTCTTGTCATCGTTCCCCGGTCCGTATCGATGCGTCCGTCGTCTATTCGCTTCTGTTTTTTTGTTACGAATCGTAGAGCGTCAGCAGGTCGTCGGACTGCTGCCGCCATCATCGTCGTAATAGGGTACTGTCTAGTATTATGATCTGGCTCGCGGTTTATCGATTTGACAGTCGGCCGGTTGGCTCTTATTTGGGCTGTCCACTCTCATAGATTCGATAGGAGGTGGGGGAGGGCGGGGTTGAATGGACTGAACCGATCTGATGGAAAGAGAGAGACTAGAGGAGAGGTCGTGCCGGTGCTGATACTGATGCTATAGCTCGTGTGGCAAAATAGTTGTCGTGCTGTTGCCGTATTTGACTTGTTGCTGCTGCTGCTGCTGCTGCTGCTGGCGACAGCAGCACCAGCCATCCTGTTGATGCTCGCGGGCCAACAACTGTCGTCGAACCGACTATTCGCTGATTGTCCACGTGCTTGTGGGTGTCTGCTTAAGCACCCTCGGCCATTGAGTAGAGCTCGAAGGCGTGCTCATTACTGCTGGCGTAGTATGCTCGCTCATAACACTCGCTCAACCGCTGTCGCCCACCGCTCACCCGCTTACTCAGTCAACGGTCGCCTGCTCGCTCGTCCGCCCGCTGCAGAAGATGCTGCTACTGCTGCCATCAGCGCCGCTAACTAACGCGCATCCACTCACCGCCGCTTCCAGCCAGCACAGGCCCGTTGCTGCGATGGCAGGCTGTATGCTGCCATGCACTTGCTCACACCAGAAATCGACAACGTCGACGACCATAACGACAACAAGATGAAAATCGCCTTCTCGCCAGCGACAGCGTGACGAGGGTAGCGGCAGCGGCAATGTTCGCGCAACCGCTACCGCGCTTGCTAGTTTTGTTATTGGTAGTGCCTGTAGCGGTAATGCTTGTTTCTTTGGTCACAAATTATTGTGGGTGCAGCATCAAGCCCAGACCAGAAACAGTACGTTACCGTTCAGCTTAACAACAATGTATCAAATACGAACAGTTCCACTCTACTGTACATCGATATTGCATCGTGGCTGGTGAAAGAGTTTCTGACGCCGGCTTTCGACGGGCGCTTTTTGTCAAAATCTATTCTTGGGCTTCGATGAACGCGTCGATCGCTGTTTTAAGGCTGCTCTCAATACACGCTAGTAGCAAACTAACTGCACACGCACGCGATTCTATCACCGTACGACGGTACCGTCACCGATTCGAACGCCGACAGTGTTATATAAATGCTGGGCACACGTACATTGGCACGAGGCACCACCTATCGTCGTGAATTGAATGGGGCACCTTCGATGGGACGGTCCTGTTAAACTCATAAGGATGATAATGGCCGGTAAAACAGGCGCTAAAATTGAAGCGTTCTAGCAATGGTGATAAAGTATCGTTGATCTTCTAGAGCACAGATGCTATTAATTTCATTGTAGTTCAACTACTGCTAACGACGAGAAGTGTAGACCGGCACCTATGACAGGATACAACGGTGGCGGTGATCTTCGCTCGCTCGTTTCTTCCTCCCTACTTCCTGTACGCATGCTATTTGTGCCTGAAGGAGCAACAACAGCAGCGGCACAAGTAGCAACCGGTGTCCTCTCCCCCGCCTGTATGCCTGGCCGTTGTATTTACTATTAACAACGTAGAGAAATGCCCATGAGCGTTTGTACGAATTGACGGGAACTGTCTGCCAGTCATTGCTTTGTTGATTGCCGCTGGCTCGCAACTTGTAGACAGAGGGACAGAGCAAACAATCATAGAGAAGGGGAGAGGAACGAAGCGCAAAGTAGAAAGGCGGACTCGGGCGAGTGGGGAAAACGGTGCTTCGAAGGTTTGAATGGCAGTGTAGCCACAATGGGAATATTGTATTCGCTCGCCAGTGGCTATGTGCGTCTCTCGCACTTCGCCGTCCTCGTACTTTGCTTCGATCCGACTTTGCATACTACACCGACACACTCACTCCTCGAAGGCTACCGGGTCGATCAGAGTCTGCTACTTTCTGGCGACGTTCGTTGCCTTTGATGGCGTTTCTGCTCTCTGACCCTTCTAGCAGTCACGGTGGCTTTCTTGACCCTGCTCTTGGCTCATAAACGTGTCGATCGTTTGTCTTCCCCTCCCGCTGGAGCTCTATTTCAACGACACGTGATCGACGCCGAAAAACACCGAATAGTGCAACACCGCGTTAGGAGCAAACGCTTGTTCTGTATATGTGTATATACATATATATATATATATATATATATACGAGATTAGATCGACGCTACGGCTTGGACGCCAAGCCTTTGCTTGAAAAAAGTCGGAAGCTGTTGCTTCAAGCTGTGCCCCTCTGAGTCGAGAAAACGGTTATATAATACAGTGTTTCAAATGTCAAATATCATTTAACCTGCCTATAATGACAAGATATATGGATTTCAAAGGAGTCGTGAAGCCTGAAGCGAAACTAAATTATTCACTAAATAATTATTTGGCGACATAAGAGCACATCATTGTATGTATCTATTGTCGTGACATTAGGTTGTATCAGTCGGATTTGTCTTGAGTCTAGCATGGTTGGCGGAAGCTTTGAAACAGAATCACAGCAAGTAGTCTCGCTCGTTCTAAGCGCGCGTAAAAATCCGTGACTGTTTCTGCTGACAGGAGTCGACTGCGATTGTATTCTCTCCTCAAAACGCTATGTCAACAAACGTCCAGATGCATGAATACGCAACAGTTCTACCTGAATGTGTCGACTTTCAGAACTCTAGCGTCTGAATAAAACGCATTGACTATGTTATACTTTCGTAATATAGCGAGTCCGTTATAGCGATCTGACGCCGCCATTCCGCCGGTTGATCGGTGTTAATATCAACGGCAGCGGCTTTAACGCTTGTCGTTTCGAGGGTGATAGCGTCATCCAGCGTTAGCGTTGAATCGCAATAGCTCTTGATGCTGTTGGCGCTGCCAAAATGGTGGAGGACGTATGGCTGTGGTGATTTTCGAATCATCACAGATGTTCTATACGGTTGGCGAACGGCATCACTCGCCCACCGCTACCAAGCAGCATAGCATCGCCGTCTCTTACTATCACTACTCGTACGATGACCACTGTGGTTACGTACGCGACATCTATGGACTGTCGTCATTGCTCTCTGTGCTGAGCGTCGAACAACCAACCAATGGCAGCGGTAAGCGGCGAGCGGCGACAACATACGCAAAATAAATCTACTGCCTGCTACTAAATCTGTTGGTACACGGCCAGCTCCATTAGCACCGCGACGGATACTATAGTTGATGTTCGATGACGGCAGCCTGCTATGCTTGTGCTATAGTGGTAGTCGTAGTAGAGGATTGGCCAAATGTCTGTCGATAGTCGGCCGTGTACCGCCGTCGCCATCGAGTGTTCCGTGCTGGGTGTAGTACTATGACCTGCCTGTTCTATGGCATATGGTGATGGCAAGCCGACCGGTCGAGCCTGTTGCCGCATGCCGCCGCTTGGCTACAGCATTACTTGCATTAGTAGTATGTTTGTCTGGCTGTTTATCCTCGGCCTGCTCGCCTAACCGTCCGTATGTTCGTGCGAGAAACGTGATTGTGTATAGTAGTATACACATATGTATACGAGTATCTGCGTGTGTGTGTGTGTGCGTGCGTGCATGTCTGCCTGCCGCGACTGTTGTGAGTCTCCCGCCATCTGGCAGGCCTGCTGCTGCTCTTCGCTACGTCGTCGGCGGCAGCAGCGCTCCGCTGCTGTTGTTGATGTTGCTGATGGTAGCTACTACGAGCACCGCTCGTTCGTTCTCTCTCTTTCCTTCCCCCACCCCACTCGCCCCTTCCTCTCTTCGGTTTGCATCGCCTCCATCCCGTCGCCGCCGCCGCCGCCGCCGCCGTCGTCGTCGTCGTCGTTTCGATGTGTTGTGAGTGGATGCGTGCGCGACTGACTGGCTGGTTTGTGTGTGTGTCCATGGGTGTGTAGGGGTTTGTGTGTCTGCGTGTGAGAGTCTACTGCTCTTAGTGGTCGCATCGAAGCTTCACGGCTCTATGGCGGTTGCCGCCGGTGCCGTTGCTAGTAATTGTAGTAGTGGCCCGCTGTTTGCTGTTGCCTGCAACCGGAGTCGCTAGCGAGAGTCGACCGGCCGGTCGACGACGGGTTGCCGCTGGAGCACCTTCATTCATTCAGCTTCTCCCACACCGACTGCAGCGCCACCCGGAGGAATGACGTAGCGACTGAGCTGGGAGCTGATTGGCTGGTTGGTTCCCTTCACTAAACGATGTTACTGGTCTTATCAAGTATTCCGTTAACAGCAGTGGTGGAGGCAGCACGCTGCTGATCGCACGCGCACAGAAGCAACGCGAGAGTAGACAGCCAACAGGGAGCGGGCACCACCCAGCATCTACTCAGTTAGTCAGTCAGTGTGCCTGCTTGCCAGCCAGCGAAAACGACCAGCAAATGCACTTACTAATGCTGCTGCTACCACTACTGCCACAGCAACGAACTCGGTAGAGAGAAGAAAGCCGCTGGAAACAAAAGCCGGCCGAACCAATCGAACGACAACAACAAAGTAACAGGCCAAACAAACGTCAAAGGCGAACGGCAGCATAGGCACCACTTGTTGATTCGATTGCTACTTAAACAGCGCAGGAGAAATACAGCTCGGACGGATTGATTCGCTGCTTCTAGCTACCCTTGAAGTGGCCCCAGATAATCGGGTATAATAGATCTCGAGTGGGCTGCTGCTGGTGCTGTTGCCGAAGTACGAACCCGTCTACGAAGCCGCACAAACAACAAGTGGGTAGTTCTGGTCGCTTGGAGTTAGTTGGCCTTCGTGCCAGCTAATCTCTAATTATATATCGCCCTCCGCCCCCGATATATGGCGCTTGTGTGTCGTGCAAGTCGTTCATTAAGCGCGCGTCTCGTATCGCGCTAATCCCATTGTCATATTGTGAATGTGAAAAAGGCTGTGTGTGTGCGTGTAAAAGTTTGCGCCGATTTCGAACTTTTCCTTCGGTACTGCAGCAGTCGACGGGACACGTCGGAACCTACCACTTTAACTATTGACTGGTGTCGTTCTTGTTGTTATTGCTGTTGTTGTGCGCGTGTTGACTACGTCGCTACTGTTTCATCATGTGTGTTTACCTATTCAGCGTGTGTGGCTAGTTGCATTGCTTCTCGATTCCCTCGGATAACCCCTATTGTTCGTGTTACGTTTTATTGGTGATTTGTTGTCGTTGTTCTTTCATTACTTTGTCGACTCCTGTCAAAGTTCGTCTACCAGTCGATATAGCCAGTTGTGAAAGTGTATTCGCTCACTTTCGCGCGTTCGTTCCCTTCTGCGGCCCAGTTACTGCGTCTTTGTCCGCCCGCCTGGATACTTCGTTGTCGTGTATTATCTGCTTCAGTTCATTTTTCGTGTGTGATGCCTTACAGCGCCGGTGGTGTGGCCGTTACTGCGATGCGTTAGTCTCATAGGGTTGCTGCTGACAACAAGGGACGAACTTGTACGCGCCATCGACACGACGAAATAGCAAGACACTACGACGATGTCTTATAACAGCTTTTCGAGTCCAGCAACATCCGGCCCGGGTCGGCCAGGCGGTGGAAATATCACGCTGACCCAACCTCGTCCTGGGGCGGCTCGTAGACAAAATGACTATCTCGACTCGCCGCTGCGTGCCCCACCGCCTTTGCCGGTATCGCCTCCGCCCCTGCCTGAGCACTCGCACAACCTGCCGATAATCCAGGCACCGAAAAAAGGCGCCATCCTTAAACCTCCCCCGCGTATGCCCACTCCAATGTTGTGTGGCTCCGGCGCTTGCCACGAAGACTCCAAAGAGCAGAAGGGCGGTTTCATGCGTGGTGGCAGCACTGGCTTTGACAGCAGCAGCAGTCACAGCAACAATATTGACCCATGCAAAAAACAGCCCGTCAATTTAAACGAGTCGACGACAACGACCAGTTCGATTGTCTGCCGTGAGTGCAACAAGTGCCGATGCGAGGCCTGCCAGCAACCGAAAGCGTTACCCTCGCGATGGGTCTGCGGAAACAAGTTTCATTGCTCTGCGCACAACCTGCTCGAACATGCAACCTGCCTGTGTTGTGCAAAAGGCATCTTCTACCATTGGGCCAAGGACACCGAACTCGACAACGACGTATCGTGCGCCGACAAGCCGTGCTCATGTGGACCGAAACATTTCTGGTCCCGGTGGGGTTGTCTCGCTGTTATGAGCGTCTTTCTACCCTGCCTATGCTGTTATCCCCCTCTGAAGATGTGCGTGAACGCATGTGAAGCCGCCTATGGACGATGGACCTCAAGATTAGGATGTCATTGCAAAGAGTACAAGGACAATCCAAACAAACTTCTGTCATCTACGACGTAGTGCACAAATTAAATGTAGAATATATAGTTATTATAGAATATATATATATATATATATATATATACATACATACATATA